AACATGAATTTGTGGATTATAGGCCAACATAATTTCTACTGTACATGTTCCGAATAGTATGAAAGAGTTGGACCATCAGGTTGAAACAAAGAAGGCTGATTCGAGGGATGAGTTTATTTTAAACATTAATTATAGCAAAAATGGATCATTGAGTGTGGGGTGCGCATATAAGATTCTTGTAGGAGGTTCGATGTTTAGTGTGGATAAGAATGGCTTTGGAATTATCACTTGTTATAATGGCAATTCAAACAAATCTAATGCTCCTATTCTTAGTCAAGGTGGCTGGATTACTCACTATGCCAATAGAATTGCTAGATATATGGCTGGAGAAAATAACTGTGAGTTAGATGGTGGATTGGGAAACAATAGTGGCGCATCAAACGGTGGTTGTATGAAATTTTATTCATACTCATATATGATCCATACCTAAACTCGAGGACGAGTTTTTTTATTTTAAATGGAGGGGACTGAGACGACCCGTGCTAACCGAAGATGGGTAAACTTTACAAAAACTCGTTTCCACAACTACTTCCCACACACCATTCTATCCACACCAACACCATGCTATGGAAATGTCATGAAGATGCATTATAACAATTTTAAGACAACCATGCATTCCATCATCAACACAAAATTACAATTAGAATAATATATATGTTTTTGCTTATAAATCATCAAGTTCATATTGTCTACAAAATCATATAGCATTTAAACTTCAATGCAAGAGGTAGTCTAATGTAAGCAAGTTGTCATATAATAACTATGCAAGATATGGTTTAAATCACAACACTTAACATTTACCCCAATTAAACCACATGCAATACATAAGCATACACATAGTTAACACAATCCTCCAAATTAGCACACTTACCAACCTAAGCCTCACGCTTTATAATACATAAAGTAACATTAATTTCAATTCAAGCCACAATTAAACAATTTAAAATCATGTTTAAAACCCTAAAATACAAATTACTCAAATTACACCATAATAAGCATGCTTTCAAGAGGAAAACAAGAAATTGATTACAACAACCTAAGATTACACAAGTTAGACAACTGCTACCTCAAAGCCTTGAAAATTCACCAAAATGAAAGCTTGCACCATCAAAATAAAGAGGAAGAGAAGGGGGAACAACATTCCCTCTTGGAGCTACCCCAAAATCTCAAGCCCAAGCCTAGGTCGAAATCTCCAAGTGCTCCAATGGCCTCAAATTCACATCATTGCGTAGATCAAGAGATGCTTTACAACTTCCCTAACTAGCCATCATTCCAAATCAAAGCTCTAGGGATTTCGAAAATCTCAAGGTGGTCAAATATCTAATTTCTCACCATAGTTGTGTAGAGAAAAAGAAGAGGAGCAACTTTCCTTTCTTGGGTACACTCAAAATCAAAGGTTAGAGCCCTCAAAATGAAGCTTTTTAAAGCTTATACATAGTGGTGAAATATCTATAGATATAGAGAGAAAATAAGATGAAGAAGACAATAAATAGTGGGGGAAAATAGCCAAACTCCTCCTATTTATACTTCCCTCACAACTTTACTCTATTTACACCACTTTACCCCAAAATTAATAACTAATTACTCCCTTCCTCTAAGCAACTTCCATGAAATTTCTCTAAGGCAACAATCCACCTAAAATATAAAAATAATGCCCTCCAATGGTCTTTCAGTTAGGCCCTTTCCATTATCGTGCACTTAGGCCACCCCAGACCCACACGGGATCCCCCCGGTCCAAAACTCAAAATTGTTTGGAATGACTCGGAATGCATTTCTAAGAGTTCTAAATTCCTAAATGACTCTCAGGGCCCACACGACATGTTAATCGATGACAACACGTAAAATGAGGTGTTAGAAAAATGAAAATCGAAAATCCGAATAATCTGGGGCGTCACAGAAATTTTCCAATCACATTAATAGAATCCTAGAAATCCTAACAACTAAATTTTTATTTTTTTAAAACTTTGGTCGCACTTATTGCATTCCTTTATTACTTTCGTTCATTACCTGTTGAGTTTGTTCGAGCTGCTCCAATGCTAGCTCTAATCTGGGATTGGGCTTGCGAGGTGGAGACTGGTGGTTGAACGCGCGCTGCTCCCTAACCTCTTAAGCTTAGCAACAGAGCCCTTGAGTAAGGCTAGAGAAAGGACCTTTGGGAGGTTAATTTCTTACTCTCTGCAATTGCTTAAATTCAGATAAGGTGTCAAAGACCGTGCACCTTTGCAGTCTTATAATGTTAGGAGTTTTGCTTTGTAGCACTGGGGACAGGCTTCGCCCAGACCTATTGCAAGTACCGGACCGAAGAATAGTCCTGGCATGCCCGTGCTCGCCCACGGTTTAGGGGGCGACCTACGGCTCAGCAGCAGCCCACCGATCACACCTTCCCGCCAAAGTACCATGTAAGTAAATAATAAAGGTACAATTGCAGTTCATAACTTAACACAAACTCCAGTAAAGCACTAGAACACACACTAAAGTAAAATGATAATTTTACTTATTTATGAATGGTGAAATTGTAATTTTGCCAACCCATGAAGGTATTGATTTTTTTTTTTTTTTTTTGTTTTTCCTGAGAAATTAATGTGAGATATAATATTTTGTACTTGGCAATATTCAATGTCAAAACAAGTCCTAGTCAAGTTGTAACTTCAAGTTACTATATCAAGATAGACATGACTGTAGAATTGGAAGGTTGTTCGAAGAAGAAATAATGAGATCATCAAAAAATGAAAGAACAACACTTTTAGGTTGTCGTTTCCCACTTAGGACACAATACCTACATGGTATGTTTTCCAAGTTACCAAAAACAGAGTTTTCCAAGTTCTTTTTGAATTCTGTCAAGTGGGAACCGGTACCACCATTTGGGAACTGGTTCAAGAACAAGGGATTTTGAAGGAAACCATTATGTCTAATGGGAACCGATTCCACATCTTGGCTACTACTACTATTTCAGATTATGGTAAGTTTTATTCCTGTTCTGATTTCCTTCCTAGTTGGTTTAGAATATTACCAAAAGTCCTATGCACGAAATTTCCTTTATTTTCTCAAGGATTAGGTTTCTGAAAATTCTATATAAACCCTGATACACATCTAGGTTTAGAATGAATTTTGCACTACAACTTTATTATTCATAAAAGCCTTAGGAAGATTATTTTTGCAGAAAATACAAGTTGATTTCTCCGTCAGTCTTTCTAGGACATACACATAAACATAGAGTGAGTTTAGAGTATTATTCAAATCCTGATCGTGATCAAAGTCTTGCATCTACAATGATCAAAGAAAAGTAGATCTACTTTTACATCGAATTCAGATATTGAAGAGCAGAAGTAAAAGCGATCACACTTCGAAAGGGTCAAAGCGTTCGTGGAGTGTTGTTTGATCTACCTGCTACACTTCTACAGAGATCAAGCATAAGCTTGATGTTAAGTTGCTGTTGGACGGGATGTTGCAAAGCCAGAGGATTATCAGCTATTGGTGTTTGGTAAAACGATAGGGTGTGAGTCAGAGTCAAAGTTCAGTATACTTTGTTTCAAATATAGTGGATCGGTTTACTTTGGATTGCATAATCCACGAGATTTTTTTCACGCAAACAGTTGATCTATTTTATCAATTGGGGTTTCCTCGCTAAAAATCCCGATGTCATCTCTAACTCTTACGTTGCTTTATTTTATCTTGCATGTGATTAATTATTTAATTGTTAAAATAAGTAAAGTTAGAAAGATATAGATCTGTTTCTAAAAGTACAAAACTCTCTAAATATTCCATTGCGTACGACTCACAATTAAATGGAGGAGACTCGAATACGGGCATACCTGTTCGAGAGCTGGATGCTTTACTCATTAAGCCACTGAATAATGCCTGTTAGGTAGGAGTGGCAATTCGTGTTTGCGGGTTATAACCGTGTTGTGTCGACCTAAATGTATTCTACTAAACAGTTTAACCCGAACACGACCCGTTTAATATTTGTGTTAGGAACTCTCAACATTAACCCGACCTTTTTATTAAACGGGTTACATGTGTAACCTGTTTAATGACTTATTTAATAAAATAAAAATATATATATTATTTCAATTATTAATAATACTCAATTAAACAACAAATACTAGAAAAATATAAGTTTCAATCCAACCAAATTACTAAATAGTCTCTAGTCTACAAAGAGTAAATTATAAGACACAAGTTTAGATGTTATTTTGAAAGTTAAATATAAATTTGTTTATGACACGTATAGTTAAATGAGTATAAACGGGTTATACGGGTTGAACCACCTTTACCTAAATACGATACGATTAACTAAACGGCTTAATCGTGTTGACCCGTTTATGACCCGAACCCGTTTAAGGTCAATCCAAACTTGTTCAACTCGTGTCGTGTTCGAATCGTGTTGGTGAGTCGTGTCAAACTTTGCCACCCCTACTAGGGAATGACAATTTGCCCCGCGAGGACGGGTACCTGTCCAACCCCCGCACCGTTTATAGCAGTTTTGGAGGACCGTTTAGCTTATTCGGATGGAGATGGTTTTTATTAGTGAAAACCAGTGTGGGTTTCAGGCAGGGGCAGGGGGAGGTCACCCGGCCCAATCCTGCGTCCGTTTAGGTTGGCAAATTACTAAATTACTTTTATTTTATTAGTACATAAAGTTAGTTCTAAAAACCCTAAATCAGATTCATTTATTTTCCCAGTCGTTCTAGAGATCAGTAGAGTCCTACTAACTAAGAACATTTATACTCTTGAATTTTATGTTAAATTATTGATTGACCATTTTTTTATGAATTTTTTCAGTAGTTTTATAATTGTATTCGTAGAAAAAAAAAATAAAAAGGAGGAAAATTTTTGGGACTATACAGGTGCCCACCGGAGATAAAAAAAATTAAACGAGGCGGAGATGAAGTGAAACGCCCAGTTTAGGCTGGAACGGGACGGGGAGGGTTCATCAGGCATAAACCGCCCCCATTGCCATCCGACCCCTACTGTTAGGTCATATTTTATGATTATTTCAAATTTGATTTATATGACTTGTCCACGTGTTAATCAACAGGTTCAAGAATGCCTAGCGAGCAATTCTACATTTCTACGTTTCTGATTCTTCTACTCCAACCCAGAACTCTCTCTTTTTAAACTCCTAAACTCTTTTGTACCTTCATTTATTTTTGTTCCCAATATATAAAGTTAAATTGCTTTTTCTTGAATTAGATTCGTAATCGTTGATTTCTCAACTTTTCTGCTTCTGGGTATTCATCTCTTACAATAGGTTAGTAGCACTGCTTCAATTTTCACTATATATATTTGATATAGTTCTCGAGTATGTACAAATGTATCTCTGCGTATGTTCTTCGTTTTGTTTTCCAAGCACTATATATGGGTTTTTTTTTATTTTTTATTTTTTATTATGTTGTTGATCAGAACTTTATATCTATCTCCGATTAAGTTTAGAATGGTGGATGATTTGAGTTGAAACAGCTGTGTAGTTCTTATTATAAGCATCGTATGAATTTATGGTACTTTTCTTGAACCCTAGAATTTGGGTAAGAGTAGTTTGCTTTGCTATAGTTTGTACACATTAGAAATTTAGGAAAATTGTGGTTTGGAGTATGGGAATTCGTCAAACATGAGAAAGTTCAAGATTGTATTTGTAGAACAGGGGGAGTATCAGAAAATATCCAAACTAGGAAAGATTCTCATACACACGAGAAAGCAAAATAAGAAAGTGCCCTACACTTTTACCCTTCAAAATTATGTTTAAAAGGTGCTCTTCAGATGGACCATTGATGCATAAAGGCTCTCAATCACAGCCACTGTAATCTCTCCCCTTCTTTAGAGTTTTTTACTTCTCTATCTAATTTATTTAAAATATAAATGAATTATATCTTGTGGACTGGCTGATAAAATTCATGTAGTTAATCTTGTACATAATGCAGATGCATGTACACTCAAACACATATAGAGATAGCGCTCTAAGATTTAAAATCTATTTACTCAAAGCATTTTAGCTTGATCATTTATAACTGTCACATGGCTTAGATTTTTTTATTTTTTTATTTTTATATATTATGTTTTAAAGGGGAAAAAAAAAATCTATGTTTTCAAGCCCACCATTGGATCTTATGTGCAGCCTCTTATTGGGGTCAATCCTTAGATCTCTCAAAATACTTCCTATCCTTTGTCATGACTTGATAAGTTATAGTTGTCAATTAACTAATTAATTGACATAATGCTAATTAATACCGCATGCTTTAGGATCAATTATACAAAAATATGGAGAGATTGATGATGATGTAAGTAGTAGAAATAGAATAGGTTGGACAAAGTGGAGGAATGCTAGTGGGGTTTTATGTGTTAAACAAATACCAAATAAATTAAAAGGGAAAGTATATAGAACAATGATTAGAGTGGCTATTTTATATGGGGCGGAATGTTGGGCATTAAAAAAGAAACACAAACGACACATCCATGTGGCAGAAATGCGGATGTTAAGATGGATGTTAGGAATAACTAGGAAAGATAGGTTTAATAATCGAAGGATTAGGGAGAAATTCGGCGTGGTGCCTATTAGCGAGAAAATAAGAGAGAGTAGACTTAGGTGATATGGGCATATTCAATGCTGACCTATAGATGAGGAGGGAAAGATTGATTTGCATAGAGGGTAAGAGACAAAGATGTCGACCGAAACTAACAAACAAGGAATGAAGTAATAAGAAATGACTGTAAAAAATTAAATCTAGTAGATGATACGACTTATGATAGAAAAGAGTGGAAAAAGAAATTCCATATGGCCGACCTTGTTGTACAGGACAAAGGCAAGGATGATGATGATGATGCTTTAACACCAGAATATCAAAATATTAGTAATTAAAATAAATTAAAAAACTAATTCCAAGAAGTTTTATAAGACTTAAACTGGTTTGGGCTATTGAAATGGTCACAACTTGTGTTAGTCTGAAACCTCGTGCAAACTGGTGAAAATTGAGGCGCAGTTAGAGTATGTGATGGTTTTGAGGTGTGTTAAATAGAAAGAGAGCCTACCAGCACCCATCACCTCCTACAGCTTAAGAAATGCTCCCTGCTCCAACTTCTGATTAAGCACCCCTGCTTTCTATTTAAAAACTTTTAACAGTAGGAAAGTAACCCAAAGAAAGAAAAGAACGTGTTACCATTGTTGAAGGATATACATATTAAAGTTTCACCCTCTCCAACAGCTTAAGCTTGTGGAGTAGATGGTAGTTAACATGGTATTAGAGCCAAAGGTCTCGAGTTCAAACCTCACCGTCACCCTAATTAAAAATTGAAAAACATGCTTTGGATAAAAAAAGAAGGCCACACGTGAGGGGGGCATGTTGAAGGATATAAATATTAAAGTTGCACCCTCTCCAACAGCTTAAGCTTTTGGAGTAGATACAACCATAAACGGGAAAGAGATGAATTTATAGAGTGAAATTGAAGAAGAAATTTTAGGGAAAGAATTTAGAGAGAGAATGGAAGAGGTACATGTATGTTTCAGAAGTGGTGGAGACCTCATGCAGTAATATAAGAATCCAATTGAGAGTGCGAATTTATTCCTTGCCATGATATCTTGAGCGTTTAAACACCCGAGGGTAAGGTAAACGGTAGTTGAGATATTATATGGAAGACGTTAACAACCAACTATTCTAAAAGCTTACCAACTGGCATCTGCCCATTTGTATAACCTCCCCATCCTCAAAGAAGAGGGGATGGGTTTGAGTCCAAGTGCGAGCAAAAAAGTGTGTTTGATTGTGTTTCTTGCCAATGTCAACTTCTCTAAAAGCTTAAGCTATTAGAGAGGGTGTACCTTTAATATTAAATCCTCTAACAGAAGATGATACTTTCAGGATGCATAGTTGGGGATGTTTTGAGGTAGTTCCATACCACCACGTTGTTGTCTTGTGATTTTGGGGTGGTCGTTTGGATTACAAGGCAGCGATTTGGATGGGACATGTAGGCAATTCTTGTGAACTTCTATGTTGTTATTGTGGTGGGTTTGGATGAGGGTTGCTGTGGTGAATTAGAGTCAGAATCTGTTTCCATTAAGCAGCGACAACTGCCACCACTGGCCTTGTTTTTGATATGGACTCTTCGTCGTCTTCTTCCCTCTTCCCAGCTTTTTTAAACCCAATTTGGACCTTTACAAAGGCATCAACCTTGTTAAATCACCACCACTGTCAACTCTATTTGAATTCCTCTCTTGTTCTTTTTCTTCTTCTTGTCTCTCCATCCTTTTTCAATCCCTTTTGGAACCTTGTCAAACCTCCATCTCTTTCAACTCCCTGAAATCCTCTTTCCTCCTTCTCCCTCCAACTCCTTCTCCTTCTCCTCTCCCCATATTTTAGTAATCTCATTTTATCCTTTGCATTTATCATCATCCTGTCAAACCACCATAAAAGACAACTATACCCATCACTACAAACCCCATCTACCCACCACCACCGACCCCATCCAAAGCAATCAAATAAGAAACTTGGAATAATAATAGTTAAACACAAGATATTAATCAATAAATATGAGAGCTATTTCAGCTTCTCTCTTTTACGCTGATTTTTTGTGGCTCATCTGTTGCTCTTATTCTTGATTCTCTGGTGGTTCTTGATTATAATATCAGAAAGAATTGCTCAATATTTATAACAGACTATGATTTATAGGGAACCCTAGTTTCCTTATAAATTTGTCTAGATGGATGGCTTGAATTATTCAGATTGCTTCTAGACCATGCAAGAGGAATGTTAGTCATATTTCACAAAGTTGCAAGTTGGTGGCCAAATGAACTGGCTGTGTATGCTAGTTTGGAAGGGTTGGAAGACATCTTCTGCTTTGGGGATGATTGGGTTTGTCCATTTTGTGAAATGATGTTATATTTTCTTCATGTACTCTTTTGTAAACACGGGTCTACTTTTCAGGATTGAAGCATTGAAGGCTTTAAATGTTGAAATAACAAGACATTGGGCAGAGTTAGCATGGTCCAAAATGGGGTGTCTAGAAGATAACAAATGGGACCTTGCTTCTGTACTAAATGTATATGCAAATACAGTGAAATACCTTGATCTTGATTCCCAGACTAGTGATTTTCCAGTTGCTTTTTAGATTGATAATGTCAGAGCAGTTATTTTCTCACATCAGATGAACTCGGTCAGGACTGTGTGTTGGTGTGGGTGGGAACTACTTGAATATATTTTCTGTATCTGGCTGTGGTTGGTCATTGAGATTCTTTTTGTAGGTCATTATGTGAACTATTTAGTTAGTAACTGATGCATTTTTTAGTTTTCAGTTAGAATTCTCTGTTTTATTTACATGCAATTATAAGTAGTATATAGCCCTGATAGAATTTTCATCTTAATTTTTTGCAGTTGATGAGTAGCACCATCTTGAAGTAGAAATTAAATAAGAACATATGACAGTGTAACACTATCCTATCGAGATTAATTTATGATCACCATGGAGTTTAAAGGTATAACCTGGGTTGGGAATATTTACCAAAAGTTTGAAGCTATGTGCTTGGAGGTTGAAGAAGTTATATGCCAGGTATGCACTTTTTTATTTTTCCTCCCCGCATCCTCCCTTTCTTTTTGTCTTTTGTAATCTAACATTGACCCTATGTCATTGTAGGCTAGGTTTCTATCCATCCCCTTTAAGCCGTAAGGGTATTTTTAAGGACTTGATCACTAAACTCTCTAGTGGGAGGTGGCTGAATTTGTTGTTCTGCAAGGCTAGTGTTATTAGAGTCACTGTATTACAACTATGACTATGACAACTGTACTAGCGCAGTACTTTCCCTCCCTTTTGTACTGCTATATGCCCTCAGCATGTTATTCTCTTGAGATAGTGCTTCTTTGCCATATTTTATCTTTCTTGCAAGGAAGGAATTGTGGCATTGTGTGAAACATTTTTTCATCTCTTTTTGTAATTTGAATGAATTTCATGTGATACTATTCTCATCATATAGTTAATATTATTAGTTTTGAGACTACTGTAGCTGACACTTTTTCTTCTTGTTGTCATCATAAAACTATTACTTTTGGAAAGGACACAGTTAAGTATGTTGAAGATCAGGTGCAGATGGTCGGTGCTAGTGTCAAAATGTTCTACTCAGATGTTATGCATGATTTGCTTCCTCCATCTTCTATAGATCCCATGAAAGTGGCTACTGCTGACTTGTCTCTGAACCCAAATGCTGACATTGGGATCTCTAAGAAACCAAAAGCAAGCATCAAGGAAGAGGATATAATGGTTGAAAAGCAAGTGACTGAGTACTCTAAAGTGATTGTTGGTGTGGATGTGGACCGTTCCTCATCTTTCAGTGACCTTGGCGATCTAAATCATTTTCCAGCCCCATCTTCTAGGGGCTTTGTGAAAGGAGCATGCTCTGACTACATCTCGGGGCAAAATAACAATAGAGGAATTTGTGAAAATTCAGATATGGGTATCAAAATGACAAAGTCAGTTTCTCCTGTGTCGAAAGATTTGAGCAGGGCGTTATCATGCTATGAAATAAGTGAAAAGCATAAAGCAGCATGTGACCAGATAGCTATGATATCTCCGCGAGCTTCAGATGAAGTTACAGGATGTGGCATTGGAGAAGGTCGGAAAGTTCATAACAGTACTGTGGAAACAACTTCGTTGATAGTTGATGCTTCAATTGATTTCCCAATGTCAGATATGATTCTATCAGATGAATCCTGTGGGAAGAAAGATAAAAAAATAAGATGTTCTTACTCCGACGGTGAGTTTGGTGGCTTCTCAGCAGAGTGAAAAGGCAATTTTTTTCATAGATATTTTCTATCTTATTATTCTCTTACTTCCTCTAGTTGCTGACTTGCTGTTTGTTAACTTCCTATTTTGTTAGTTGCAGGCACATGTACAGATTGTGAGTTTGTTCCAGGGTCATACATTACTAGGGATGCGCATTACAATCAATCTGCTGGTGAGGAGTTTTTTACATGCCATACAGGTATTCTCGTCTTATAAAGGCATAATTTGACTTCTCTTTCCTTTCCCCCCGCCCCAACCCAAATTGGAACATTATTAATTTTTTGGGTTATTGATTAAATTGGGAAAATGAAATTTGTTGAGGCTGGGTCATTGTGACTTGCCTTGTAAGTACTGCATAAAAGAAGGGGGGTGCTTGGTGCTGCAATGATAAAAGTTTGGATTGGGAAGCTTAAAAATGTTGGTTCAAGTATGAGAGCAATCACTTGTGCAAAAACACTTCAAAGTTTTGGGTTTGCTCGTGTTTCTCTCCTAGAACCCCATGTAGGTAGGACTAGCACTAGATAATGATTGATTGAGATTGTGAAGTAATGCTCTAAAGAAATGATGAATGCAGAACTGACTCAAGTTGCAGGAACCAAAAAGATTCAGGACAAATCAGTACTTTCCCCACCTCCCAATATCTATAGAAAGAAATGCAGCGCATCTATGATATTCTATTTGTAGGGCAGTAACACCTATGAAGCATGGATTATTCTAAGGATGACCAGTGTTAGACTCTAAATTTTCTTACACTCACAAACAAAAACAGATGTAAGATCAAGGAGGGTTTATCAAAGGACTGAAAGGAGTTGGTATAGGAGTATAAGAAGAGTCTATTCATTTTTACAAGTACACACAATCCTTCCCTATGTACACCAATGTTGTGTCGTTGCCATGTGTTTGTAATGGTCTATGAAGCATGGACATGGACACGGACACGGACACGGACACGGGACACTGATACGATATGACACAGACACGGTGATACGGCAAATTCTTCAAAATAGGACACGAACAAGGCAAGGATATGGCAATAAAATAATATTGTAATTTTTATTATATATAAATTTTTTACTTTTATTCAATTTCTAATTTATATTAGTAATAAACATAACCTATTTTAATTAGACCCACAAAATAGCCCACACTTTCTTTGAAAAACAAAATAGCCCAGATTTTATTAACATATACCGTATATAAAAGATAACATACATATATATCTATTTGTTGAAGACAATTTTTTTTCTTTCTTGTATCCAAACAAGGAAAACAAGATAAGATTTTGATCTTATCCCCTCACTCTTTCTTTCACGGCATTGTTAGTCTGGCTTCGACCTCTTCTTTGTCTTCTCCTTCTCTTCCTCACCCTTATCTTTCATTCACGGAATCACAGCTCTCAGTCACTTTCTCTCTTAATGATTCCTCTCTCATCCCCTCCATCTATTAAATCGTTCTCTCTCTAATCTCAACTTTATACATCTATTTGAATGGATACACATATACAAATATATTTATATATCATCTACATCCTCTGTCTAACAAAACTCCTACAGCCGTGTGCGGAGCTGGTCCATATCATTTATTTATTTTTAGTCACATTTGAAGGCTTAAGTTTATCATTTTCAGTGGAGTTTGAACTCAAAGAAGCAGCAGTAGTGATTTAATGTATAAAAATTGTGAAGGCGTCACTTGAATTCTTAAAATGATTTGTGCATGCAAACTAGACTCTTATATACCATATGACATGAAAATCAAAACGGTCTTAGGGCCTATTTGGATTGACTTTTCTAACGCTGTTTTTGACTTTTTGGACTTGGAAGTTGTTTTATATAGTGTTTGGCTTGCTTTTTTGAAAGAGCTTTTGCTCTTAGAAGAGCGTTTTGAAGAAGCTGAGGACCTCGGCTTTTCCAAAATGCTCTTTGTTACTCCCTCCGTCCCAAAATACTTGTCCATCTTTTCATCTTGGGATGTCCCAAAAAACACGTCCCATTCCAAAATTGAATGTACTATTTTTTATAACATTCCCAAACTATCCTTTTAACTAAACAATTGCACTAATTACGGAGCACTATTTTGTCTTTTAGTAAGGGCATATTTGAAACTTCACTCTTATCAATACAATAAAAAACTATTAAAACTCCACTACCAAAAAAAGTTGGGTTCCCCATGGACATGTATTTGGGGACAAAGGGAGTAAAAGACACGGGAAGGTGATTTAACTTTAGTATAACTTTCATAATGGCAACATTACCCTCATATTTGTGAACCATAAAATAAATATTTCACCTGTATCCCTTTATATACAAAGAAACCCTAATCACATCACAAATCCGAGCTCTTATCTGGTTACAGTTTTGCACTGCAGTAGGTTCCCCACCATCTCCTTTCCTCATCTTGATCTTCTCACCATCTTCCTTCCACTCAATTAGTTCAAGAGCGTTGACGAGCTCTGATGGATAAGTACTGCAACAATTGCTTCATTAAAGACAGATTGCAAACTATATGGCCAATTTCAATAACTTCATGCACACTTTCAATTTTTGGATCACTATTACTGCAAATACATATATAAATTTGTTTCAAATCTCTTTTACGACTGTTTTCTTCTAGTACCCGTAGCTCTTTTTATCCAATTTTAAGAACATCTATATATATATATATATATATATATATATATATATGTATATATATGTGATGTTGTGGCCTGAGTTTGGTGCCGAGTCGCATTGCGATCTGCTTTCAACCTGACGACCCATTGGATGAGCTTTGTCTCGTTTTTGCTCATGGGTCATGGATCCTAATTAGTATTCTTTTGTAGCCCGATATATAAGGGCGTTTAGGGTTTGGAGTGAGTTGTGAAAGAGACACTGAAATTCGTATAGAATAGATAGGGGTTGAAACTTGTAATCTCCAATTTTACACATAGTGAAGACTTTCGTCGGATCTCCACCATGGATGAAGCTTTGCTGAACCACGTATAAATTTTTGTGCTCTTTGTGTGGTGTGTTTATTTTTCTGTTGTGTTATCGTAATTGTTGCTTGGTTCGTTGCGTTTGTCGTAACAAATTGGTATCAAAGCTTTCGGTTCGAAGCAGGGATGGCGTCTAAGTTTTTGGCAATCGAGAAGTTTAAAGGCAGAAACGATTTCAACCTGTGGCAAGTTAGGATGCAGGCTCTATTGGCTCAACAAAGGTTATCCAAGGTGTTGAAGGGGAAGGATGCACTGCCAAAACAGATTAAGGACAAAGATGAGGTTATGGAGAAAGCACATAGTACAATTTTGTTGTGCTCGAGTAACGAGGTTCTGCGAGAAGTTGCTGTAGAGACTACGACAGATGGGCTGTGGAATAAGTTTGAGTCCCTTGTATCTAAAGAAACGGTTGTTCACTCTCCAGATGCGCGAAGGTTTGTTTATGAAAGACCATCTTGACGAGGTAAACAATATCATCATGGACTTGAAAAAATATTGATGTCAAGATAGAGGATGAAGATCAGGCTATTATTCTGTTGTGTTCTCTACCACCCTCGTATGAGAACTTTGTCGATACAATGATGTATGGCAGAACTACTTTGTTCATGGAAGATGTGAAGGCATCTTTGAATTCCAAATAGTTGCATAAAAGGGCGTTTAAGGGCAATACAGAAAGTTTGGTAGAAGGGCTAGTTGTCAGAGGAAGAACAAATCAGAAGGAAGGGTCTAGCAGCAGAAATCGTTCTAAGTCTAAGAAGAGAACAAAAGTGTTGAGATGTTACATCTGTCGCAAGGAAGGGCACTTCAGGAAAAATTGTCCGTAGCGTAAAAAGGGAAAGGAAAAATCCTCTTAAGTTGATAGTTTGGCTGTTGTAGAGGGTAATGATTCAGATGGTGGTGACATTCTCACGAATTCTGTCGGCAGCTCTTGCGATGAGTGGATTCTTGATTCGGGTTGCTCATTTCATGCTTGTCCAAACTGGTCTACCTTTTATCGATTTATTGATGGAGGGGAGTTCTGATAGGGAATGATGTGGTGTGCAAAGTTGTAGGTATTGGTACAGTTCGAATCAAGATGTATAACGGCATAGTGAGGACATTGACTAATGTCAGGCATGTTCCAGAACTGAGAAAGAATTTGATTTCCCTAGGTATGTTGGATTCCATTGGGTGCACTTACAAAGTTGGAGGTGGAGCCATTCGGGTTTCAAATGGTGCTCTTGTGGTGATGAAGGGACTGAAGAAGCATGGTATATATGCTCTGCAGGGTATGTTGGATTCCATTGGGTGCACTTACAAAGTTGGAGGTGGAGCCATTCGGGTTTCAAATGGTGCTCTTGTGGTGATGAAGGGACTGAAGAAGCATGGTATATATGCTCTGCAGGGTAGCACAATTACGGGTTCAATTGCTGTATCGTCCTTGGATTCGAATTTAGATACTACCAGATTGTGGCATATGCGACTTGGGCATATGAGTGAAAGGGGGATGGATGTTTTGAGCAAGCAAGGTTTGCTTGGTGTTCAGAAAACTGGGAAGCTGGATTTTTGTGAGCATTGTGTCTTTAAGAAGTAGTGCAAAGTGAAGTTCAGTACAAGAATTCACATGACCAAGGGTACGGTGGATTATATTTATTCTGATCTTTGGGGTCCCTCTCAGGTTACTTCACATGGTGGTGGTAGATATATAATGACATTGATTGATGACTTTTCTCGAAAAGTTTGGATTTACATTCTGAAGCACAAGAATGAGGCCTTTGTTACATTCAAGCAGTGGAAGACCTTGATTGAGAAGTAGACTGCAAAATGAGTCAAGCTATTGAGGACAAATAATGGCTTAGAATTTTGTGATGGAGAATTTAATGAGTTCTGCAAGACTTCTGGGATTGTGAGGCACCACACAGTGAGGAAGACTCCACAACAGAATAGAGTTGCAGAACGGATGAACATAACGCTATTGGAGAGGGCACGGTGTATGTTGTTCAATGCAGGGTTAGACAAAGGGTTCTTGGCCAAAGCTATTTCTACAACTAGTTACTTGGTGAACCAGTCTCCATGGATTGCTATTGATTGTAAGACTCCAGAGGAGGTATGACCTGGTTTTCCTGCTAGTTACAGTAATCTGAGAATATTTGGGTGTCCAGTGTATGCTCATGTGAATGAGGGGAAGCTTGAACCGGGGGTTAATAAATGCATATTTCTTGGTTATCAGTCCGGGGTCAAGGGATACAAATTATGGTGCCTGGAGGCTTCGAGAAAGAAGATACTTGTTAGCAGGGGTGTGACATTTCATGAGTTTGCGATGCCTACTCCGTAGAAGGAGGTAGTTGATTTAGGGAGAGCTCAAGGTGTTAGTGAGCAGGTAGAGCATGTAGAGGTTCAGTTAGAGAATAGTCCTAATCGGTAGACTAATAAGCAGGTGCAGTTTCGGGCTGAGGGAGATGCACAGTTGCAGCAGTATAGTGTGGCTAGAGACAGGCCTAGGAGGGATGTTAGGCCACCTGAGAAGTATGGGTTTTCACACGTTGATTTGGTTGCTTATGCACTTAGTGTGGCATAGGATATTGATAAGCAGGTACCATGTACTTATCATGAGGCCATCACAGGTAGAGAGTCAGCACAGTGGTTTGTTGCCATGAGTGAGGAGATTGAGTCTCTTCATAAGAACCAGACTTGGGAGCTAGTTAAGAAGCCTAAGGGATGGAATATTGTGGGCTGTAAATAGGTCTTCAAGAAGAAAGAACTCCAGTGGTGGAAGATGTGAGGTACAAGGCATAGTTAGTGGCGAAGGGCTATACACAAAGGGAAGGGGTGGACTTCAATGAAGTATTTTCTCTTATTGTGAAAACATAGTTCAATCCGGGCATTACTTGCTATGGCTGCTCTGTATGACTTAGAGCTCGAGCAGCTTGATGTCAAGACTATTTTCTTGCATGGTGAGTTGGAAGAGCAGATTTATATGCATCAGCTTGAGATTTTGGTAAAGGAAGATCATATTTGCCTACTAAGAAGTCCTTGTATGGGTTGAAGTAGTTTCATAGATAGTGGTACAAGCGATTTGACACCTTTATGGTTGGGAGTGGATACTGTAGGAGTAAGTTTGATGGTTGTGTGTATCATAGGAGGCTCTTAGATGGTTCGTATTTGTACTTGTTGCTGTATGTTGATGACATGTTGATGTCAAGGAACACGATGGCTATGTCAGAGGCTTGGAGAGGGAGACTAATGGGTAGCGTTTGGTGGGGGTTGTGGCACGAGCAGAATAGGAGATCTTTCGATGGAAAGGAGTCGTCGGCTTGGGTTATTAAGTCGAATATTTTGCATTCTCTTTATTCTTGGGTTAGTGGGAAAAATTGTTCATCTTTGGACAGTTTTTTGGATTTTGCTAACAACTTATCGTTGTAATGGAGCCTTTTGCGTCTTTTGTTTGCTTTGTTAAGGGTTCGCTCCCCTTTGAGCGCCTTTGTTAATATATATTTACTTATAAAAAAAAAAATGTTGATGACATGTTGATAGCTTGCGAGAATATGTCTGAAATCAACATGTCGAAGGCTCAACTTAGTGGTGAATTTGAGATGAAGGATCTTGGTGCTGCAAAGAGGATATTTGGTATGGAAATTCACAGGGTTAGAGGAGCGGTAGATTGTATTTGTCACAGAGGAAATACATTGAGAAGGTGCTGGAACGCTTCGGTATGCAAGCGTCAAAGCCTGTGAGTACTCCTTTGGTGCCCACTATAGACTTTCAGCACAATTGTTACCACAAACCGAGGAGGAGTTGGAGCACATGTCTCGTGTTCCTTATGCTAATGTAGTTAGTAGCCTCATGTATGCTATGGTGTGCACTAGTCCAGACATTTCACATGCAGTTAGTGTAGTGAGTAGATGTGTGGATGGACCTGGGAAGGTCCATTGGCAGGCTGTGAAGTGGATATTGCGGTACTTGGGAGGCACTGCAAATGTTGGCTTAGTTTATGACAGAGGCAGCATCACATGTGGTAGTGTTGTTGGATTTGTTGATTCGGATTATGCTGGAGATCTTGATAAGAGGAGGTCCTTGACAGGGAACTTCTTCACTCTTTGTGGGAGTGGGATCAGTTGGAAGGCGACTTTGCAGCCCGTAGTTGCATTGTCTACTACTGAAGTTGAATACATGGCAGCCACAGAGGCAGTGAAGGAAGCTATATTGTTGAGAGGCTTGGTTGGTAATTTGGGCTTGCAGCAGGATGATTTGACTGTGTTTTGCGACAGCCAGAGTGCTTACATTTGATTAAAAATCAGATGTTTGATGAGAGGACCAAGCACATTGATGTTCTACTGCAGTGAGGAAGATTGGGACAATAGAAAATCCGGCAGATATGATGACTAAGGTCATTCCTGCTCTCAATTAATAATTAAATGAGAGTTCAATTAATGATTGGGTGGAACTATTTTGTGAATTTTAATCCTAGGATAGTTTCATCTTTTTGTGAGTTAAAGAAAGTTTAGCATGTTATTTGTTTTCCCACTGTAAAGAAAATAATTAAGGATTGTTTTTACCCCCTCACTGTGAAGACAAGAATGAATTCAATCAGTGTGTAACCGTAGAGAAAAATAATAATAATATGGCAACAGGATCATCACAATGCACTTTGTTCTTGTTTGATCATTGTTGATATCTTTCTCTCTCTATACCATAGTGAATATCATGCCGTGGTTGCAACTCATAAACAGTGTTAAAATAGTTATTTAAATAGTAAAGAGATTTAGCAAATGTTTTGCCAAACATAAAAAAAGCCTCTTTCGACACTACAAACTCTTCTAAAATATAGTTTCCAAACACTAACGAATAAGCTAAATGGAAGTGATAACTTATGCTTTTCTTTTTCTTCCCTGTAAAAGCGGAAGCAAAAGCTATGCCAAATGAGGCCTTGTTTACAGTTGTAATTTTCCAATGGGCAATGATGCGTGTCTGAAGCACGTCCACTGTCCCTCTGAAGTGCGTTCAAACTTTGTGTTACCAAGTGCCAATTTTTTGTATTGTTACCTATTGTTATTTCTTCAATCTATCTACTGATTTTGTTGAAACTTTACAGGAACATTAGGGGGGTGTAACATGGATGTGATTGAGAACAGTGTTATTGTTGAGCCAGGGATTGAAACAATTGAACAATTTGATACATCAAAGATTGAAGAAACTTGTGTCTTGGTGGATAGAGATAAACTTTATTTTGTTTCTCATGGGGACGGCAAACATCGAACATACAAGGTACTCTCTCATCTCTCTCTCTCTCTCTCTCTATATATATATATATATATATATAATATTCATTGTCATTAATGAAATATTTTCTTTTAGATAAAGATTCAGGAAGCTCTCTCTTCAAAAATGAGGTTAACAAGGAAGCAGGAGTATGAGCAGCTTGCATTACAACATGGAGATGTTGATGCAGGTTTAAACCAAGAGAATGTGGAAAGTTCAGTGCCTACTGTTACAACAGACGCGGACGCAGAGAATTTAGCGGCTCATGTGTTCTGTGAATCTGAGTGGGAGCTTTTGTAAATACCACTATTGACAAAGGCATCTGTAAATAAATCTCTCTTAACTGTATCTGCAGGGCTGACCTTTGAAGTTGAAGGATGCCGCGCTGGATGTCAATGCTCACAAAAGCTAAACTCATCTATAGAACAACATTACCCCAAGTGGTAAATAAGCATACCATTTACTTTTTAGTGGTTTAATTACCGAAAATAGTAACAATAATGATAATAGCTTATAATTTGCCCCTTTCTATTGCTATTTGGTTGATGCATATCATCGTGCTTCATGTTGAATTTGGGAATGGAAGCTTTTAGCCTTTTGAGCAGAGCTTGAAATTTGAAGAAAGTTGCACATAACGGGAAATGGCTGAAAATAAAGGTGGAACTTAGTCAAGAACGATTATCTAGTAGGGAAAGTTTTTCAACTATAGTCAAGCAGATTGTTAAACTTTGTCACAATTTTGCATTCCTGGGTGTTTTCAGTGTCAATATCATCTATCATTTTTTTTTTAATATTCAACTGTTTTTTGTTTTTTGTTGTTCACTTCTTTTTTATTAGTTGACAAAGGTCGCCTTCTGGGAAATGGAAATTGGTTTTTCTGGTAGATGGCCATCATTGCAAAGGATGACCGTTTGCTAAAGTTCAGAAAGAAAGTTGAAACAACAATTGCACTTCTCAAGAATTGCCAATCCACATCTGTTTTCCAAATTTTTTTGGAGTTTCTTACTTATTTCCATCTAACCAAAGGGAAACCATATGGTTTCAAACAAAATCAGAGGAAATCCTTGTTCTTTTACTCCATTTCTCCTTTCTTCTCATCCGCCCCTCCTGCTCCTTTGCCCTCTCTATTCTTTCCCTCCTATTCCTATTATAGTTCATACAATTATTCCTATTATACGTCTCTATCAACCATTATTATTATTATTTTTTCAACTGTTTCCCCATAAGTTGAAATGCATGCACACCACCGAGTTCCCAAGGGGAGAGGAGAGATCAGAGGAGAAATCATATCAACCGAGCTAGCCCAAACTAAATAGGAAAAGACAAATAAACGCTCAAATCTGAAAGGGCACTGGAGCATAATACTTGGCACCAGCTTACCTTGCAATTGCCTGAAACAGTTCTTTCAAGTGTTTCTCCAAAATAAGAGATTGCAGCAGCTGATAACAATTCTTTCCAAGACCTATCAATAAACCGATCATCAAAAGATGAGGATTCTATCAGCCTTGGAGGTAGTTTCTCGTATGCCATTCTGGGGATGAGGGTTAAAGTCTCCCTCGACATTGAGCACACCTTCCTCGGGTGACCCCAAATCGCAGAACAAATAAATTATTAGTAATCCATTAGCACTTCAGTATATATATACACTGAATATATGTATATATATATATAGACACACACACACATACTGCCAAACCATGACATACAAAAATGTGCGCAAACTAACAGATGGGCCCAGCGATGCAACTGAGACTTCATCACTACAATTACAGAATAGTTTGAATAACATCAAAGATACACCTGATCTGCCAGTACAAACACCAAAAGAAGTTACACAATTTTAGGGTGAGTGGCAATTGTTAGAAATGTGCAAGTGTCACATACCAAATTTACTACAACAATCTACTTGACTACATCTACCACTATTGTACAAGTCCACAAAAGACACCTGTGGAAATAGATGTACACGTTCAAATAACAGCGAAGACCAATTACCAATTTGCACAAAGACAATGAGAGGCATTAAAAAAGATTCCACTATACAACCAACCACAGATTGAAAATCATGTTCTCAAAAACTTCTGATAACCAACCAAAGATTGCCAATGTACTCGACATATGTGATCTGCCAATCAAAAACAACAAATTAGCAATAATGTTTACCAAACCCATTCAACGACTTGGAGAGCAGGTTAATCAGCACATTCATGTAAAGAAACAAATCCAATGTATTTGCTCATAGGCAGTTGGAGTCATTCACTAAGAACAGCGGGGAAAGAGACAGCACCACAAAAATCTCTCATTGTAATTTTTTTGGGGTAAAGAACATAACTGCACACCCTGTGATTCTTATGGATTTTGAATGGAGTTTTATATGGGAAAAACAAAGGGAGAAATAAAGCCCTTGCGTATTTTCCTTGCAGGAAAACTATCATAGGATTGCAAAGTAACCTAAACATAGAGAAGCAAATCAGGTAAACACACAAAACAAGCTAGTAGAGTGGGAGATGAAAAATAATCTACACACAAGTATGTAAGCAATAACCAGAACAACTCGAGTCAATATGGGCTAGGAAAGGTGTATAAGGTAAAAAACTAAATCTCAATTTATTAGCACGAAATGGATGTCTGATGACTCAAACCCCTACTTCCACGCTTAACAGACTGAACTTGAACAACTTAAAATTGTGACTAATCCTCCGGCTTAAATGGCAGAGTGGTTGTTTTCAGTTTCGGACCAATGACTTCATGCTTAACAGCCCGAACTTTTGAGCAATGTTCCCACATAGTTAAATTTTGAATTAGAAACCCAATCGGTGTTTTCATTAGAATTAGAAACCCAACAGTCATTTTGCTTCAACGGTACCAAACCCACTCAGTGGCTTTGGGTGTTCTGTACAGTTATATAAAATAAAAAAAAAGGAATTACGTTGACAGTCCAAATGGTCAAGAAGCTTCTGCAGTCTAGATTTCAAAAAATTGATAAATATTTGGATATAGTTAAAAAAAGGGGCAATTTCTTATTACAGAGGGATTACTTTGACAGTCCAAATCGTTCAAGCAGCTTGTGCAGTCTAGGTTTCAAGAAAGTAGATAAAAATTTGGATATGCTGGGAAGAGAAGGGATCCGCTAGTAGGAGCTTATCTTCCTTGCTGATTAATTATCCTTTTCATTTCTCTAACATTGACATCACCAAAAATGGACAAAAATCTTTTTCTAAAAAAGATTATTGCCATTATGATAGTTACCCTTTCGCATAGAAGATGTAAAAGAGATACTGGGTACATTAGAAAAACAGTTCACAACTAATATTTGAGTACTTCACTGAGCAGGCTCAGGTTTACTTCTATGGGGTAATGCCTTTCATTGAATTGGCTAGCTTGGGATAGCCACCGTCGGCAATGCTACATGTGGGGCCTTACCAGTGATTGGTGTTGAAACCTAGCCCTCTATATAGGAGGGCATATTAAAAAAGGTTCACCTCTAATGGCTTTTACAGATTTGCAAGATATACAAGTAAACCACCATCACTTTGCCAAGATAATATGGCAGGCAGCAGCAGAATGCAATGCCCACCTACAAACCACCAACCGTTAAGCATCTTCTAATTTGTAGTACAGAAATCATCACTGCTACACCACAACTGACTACTGCTATATATTTCTTATTCAATTAAAATCGAAGAGTTATCATTGACACAAAAAGATTAGAGGGAGAAAGAAGCGATTCACGTTAAAATTTGTAGAGGCTCACTAGTTGCTGGTTTTATTTTATTTTAATCATAAAGAATCAACAGTTTCTCATAGTTCTTAAGAAGTTCCATATGTGTGTATATATATAATTTTTTATGCAATCTGTTTCTACTATTTTCCAGTTCTCATCAGATTCATCACTTTGTACAATAAACACAAAGCTGCAGCAAAATAGAGTACTTAGAAATAACCAGAAAATTGTTGGAACCATAGTTCTAAAAGGTTCTTCTGAGGCTTGACTCAAGGTAAGGTGACACTAAAGTGTCTTGAGGCTTTAATTTTTTACAAGGATCCTGGTAGGTACAAGCCACATCAAAAAAGGCATTAAGGGGTCCCTTTTGCTTTTTATCCTTGCACATTGGGCCAATGCCAAAAGTGACCGGATATTTATTTTTCCAATAAATTCTAAAGGGCGCAACAATATTTCTTTTGTCAAAGGTTAAAATATATCAACAATTAATTATATTCATCTTTATTTATGTTTCAATATATGCTTATTTATTCACACTTTCTTATAAATTGATCAATAATGAAAATTATGGAATACGACTTTCCTCTTGGCTGAACCATAACATCCAAAGTTCTCTACAAACTTAACGTATACTTTAAAGTTTACTTGATATCAATTATTTTCCCTCCTCTGAAACTGCATTATTATTTTATTTTTTAATAAAAAATGTAAAAAAAAAAATCTCATTCACATCAGATACATAAATAGAGTATACAAATAACTAAAATAATGTCCTCCAAAAATTTTCAATTTTTCTTAAAAAAAAAGAAAAGAAAAGAAGCATAAACAACTACACAAGCCACCTCCCTTCCCAGTTGCCATAGAAAATTAAAGGAAGTTCTTATTTAGATAGGCAGGTATAAGTGGTACAATGTAGTCAAATTCAACCCATGGTTGTTGCTAACATCTACTCACCTTGCTGGACCACATCTAGTCTGCATTACATACTATGATACGAGTATGCATCTAACTTGGAAGCAAACACAAAAAGGATTTTTATGTATTCAATAAATAACAAAAGATAACTATATATGCTCACCACATCAGTGTTTGGAAGACTGATATCAAATTCAAATTATCAATTGCCTATTCATGCAACAATCTTGATGGCAGCAAAATACCTCCAGGGGTGTGATAATACCACCTGGACTCTGGATCCAAATTCTTATTATAATTATCTTAAGTGGACAGTCAGTAATTAGGATATAAGCCAAGAATGCTATTATCTTTTATCATACTATACCCACTGTCAAGTCTGCCATAATTGTCTCATCTAAAACAAATATTTAGAACATGAATGTGCACAAACAAAGATAAGCATAAAACAAAGAAAAGTGAGTCATTATAACTATGTAACTCTGCAAAAAGAAAAAAGGAAAACGATGAAGAGAAAAATCTAAGAGGATATAATCTAACCTGAACTCAGTGTATTCAAGTTCTAGGTGAGTGTCCTGCATCAGATCCATATCCAGAAGAACTTCCACTATCAGAATCTGTAATTAGAACAAAAAAGCTCAACTCAACCAATATAAATTGAACATCTAAGAAGTACAGAACTTGTCCAACGGTGTCTGGTGTCGTGTATGTGTCAAACACCCATATTTCGCGTACACATCTCCGAAATTTCATGGAGGTATCCATAATTTAAAAAATAAATTTCATTATGTCAGACACTTGGCCAATATATCCCAAATACTTCCTAGGACAAGTCATATACAAACAGAAACATATCTAAAAGTAGTCATGTCCAAATATCTGGGAAATAATATGAACTCATCTCAAATTGTCCCAACCATTTTTAAAAATAAAAAAACTGACATTATACACATGGTCAACACAAGTGAAGCGTGCAATAATAGTTTTTCATATAAGATGAAAAAACAATTGTAGTGACAAAGCAGGAGACTAATAGCATAAATTATATAACTTCTTTTTACAATCTTCACGCAATTTCATCTTTTAAATTATGTCACTTTTAGTATGGTACATAAAAATAGTTGATGCAATATAACTGTCTCATATGTTTACAAATAAAAATTTATATTAATATATAGAAGTGTACATAGGGATGGCAACGGGGCGGATTTGGAGCGGGTTTCCCTAAATCCCACCCTGCCCTTTTTAATTTTTGTCAAGTCCATGCTAGCCCTGAGACCCTCGACGGGTTGAATTTTCATGTCCAGCCCCGCCCCGTTGGGAAATACTGTGCCCCCATGCCCACCCCGCTAACAAATTTTTTCTCCCACTTTTTGGAACTTAAGCTCCTGCTATTTGAATGTGGAAAGCCTGGGAATGGCATAACATAAATGAAATTATGTATCCCAACAAAAATAAAAAAATAACATGCACATAACATAATTCGGATAACATAATAAACAAAAATAAAAGTTTAATACAACCAAATCACAAGAAGTTCTAAGCTCCAACTTCCACCATAACCAAAACAAAAGCAAATTTAATACCAAGTTTACATATATATATATATATATAATATAATATAATATAATATAATTATATGCTTAGCGGGGCGGGGCGGGGCGGGGCGGGGCCCCTAGGATATGTATACTGAACCCTTACCCGCCCCGTGACCCGCGATGGGTACAAAATTTGCATCCATGCCCGCCCCAACGGTATAAAAAGTGTTCCCATATCCGTTATTAATGGGGCGGGACGGGGCGGGGCCCCGGCGGGGCGGTAAAAGTTGACATCCCTAAGTGTACACCCTCCGTCCATGTCCTACTTGTTTATGATTCGGCACGAGGGTTTATCTGTCTCACATCGTGTCCATGTCTCGTCTGTGCACTTAGTTAAACATTAGCGCAACAGAAATAGAAATGGTTTTAAACCAGAAAAGATGATAGAAATATGTTACAGTACCGCTTGAAGAGGAACCAGAATCGCTGCTAGAGCTGCTTGAACTACTTGATTTACTCGCCTTATCACCATGATTTTCTTGAAGAGGAGATGAAGAGGTAGCATGCTTCTCATCTTATAATGAACGAAACAATTACACAATGATCATTGCCTAATATAACATATTGGGACGACAAAATATTATAACATATTGTGACAGAATAAAATGTATTACATCCTCGGGTTCAAAGACTTTTACCTGTTTTCGTTTCGGTTGGCACCTCCACTACAGCTGGGGCTGGGTTCTGCAAATGGCAAGAGGAAATGCATCAATGAACCATTATTTTATTGCACAAAGAGACCAAATATATTATTCAAGGCTTTACCTTTTTCTGGACATTCGGCTCAGTTTCTGCTCTTTCTTGAACTGCAAGTTCAGCCTTTCTCTTATTCTTGCTCAAACTCTTCTTATAGTTGGTTACAAACCTATCGAGCTCCCAGAGAGTTTCTATATCAACGCTATCAATATCCACTTCAATCTCATCATCATGCTGGCAAAGCGACGTATTCCTCTTCTTAATGATCTGGACAATGTTATCCAGCTTTTCAGAAGGTAAACTCTGCAGGTTTGTGCTAAGTTTCTGCTTTTCCTCATATGTCATGTCCCTTTTATCTGGATCTTTGGCCTTGGGCTTCTTTGGGACAGGGGTCCTACCTAAATGAGAAGAAGTCGTGGGTTTTGCTTTGGGATCAAAGGAATGAGTCATCGATTCTGACCTATCCAAGATCCTTCTCATTCCCTGAGGTGACAGTGGCTGCCGAGGATGCTTTCTTGATGTAGGGGTAGGTAAACTTGCTTCATAATCTACTGCAAGCCTCAACTCCCGCATATAATCAGCCTCTATAACAGCCCATTTGTCGTCAAATAAATTTGATAGCTGCTCAGCCATTACATGTACATCCTGCCCTTTCGGATTATAAGTCATAGCATTCCGAAATGTAAGTCTCACATCCTCTGCAAATTCTCTGGGAGACTTGTACCAATTCTTATTCAACCTAGACTTCACAGTTCCCAAATCCATTGGATGCTTAATGATGTTGAAGTAGTCATGCAAACCAAGAGCCTTTGCATCAACAGGGTTATTGAACACCCAACCATGCTTGTGCTTCATCAATTTCTCAAGCAAAGTACTACAACTCTTAAAAACTTGATTCGAGAACTTTCCCAACCCAAACCCATGTCCCATTTCACCCCCTCCATGCTTCTTTCCGCTCGATTTTGACTTCTTGTTGCTCTCAGCAGGTGGAAACTTATCCTTCCCAAGAAGAAACTCAGATTTTCTATAAAACTGATTCGCTTTCGGCGTCCTCTTCTCTTTGTCCACATTATCACTCACACCCTGGCTGTTCTCCAACACTGATATACTCAGCTGGTTTAAAGGCTTCGATTGGCGAGGAGTACTCACCGATGCCACCTCCAAATGAAGCCGCTTCGCCCCACCACCATTTGTCTGCCCATCTTTTGCCTCAATTTTCTTCACCCAATTCCTAACCATATCCAGTTCACTCTCGAGCTTCCTCCGAAGCTCCCGCATTTCCTGCTTCGACCTTGACGACAAATTGATCGTAATGCGATTCTCTTGCCTTGGAAACCCTAGCTTCCCCCCTCCGTTGCCTGAAGGTAGTTCACGAGAGCTACGAGGTACCTGTGGACGGTTCAGAATCGAAGAATCGTCTGACATAGCATCGAAGCGGCTGAGAAGGTGTTGTTGAGACGAATTAGCATCTTCGGAAGCTAGGGCTTCAGTTTGTGAATGTGTTACGTTGTTCTTCAAACCTTTGAATGATTTTCTTGTATAGACTTTGCTATCTGCCCATCTCTGCTTCTCTTTAGAACCCTCACCTCCTTCATTTCCATCTGCTATGGGCCCCGAAGCCATACATGTAACTCCGAGACCCAAAATTCGATCTGTTTCAAAGAAATTAGTATACACTATGCATGTACATAGTAAAAATTTCTCCTGTTTTCATCAATTGAAGCCCTAATTTCTCGGAATCGAATTAGGGTTTTTCTTGGGTCTATAAAATGAACTCTAGGGTTTACACACTTACAGTAGTCACCAGTGAGTAGAGAGAGGTTCGAATTCGTACCTTGTCCAGATCAAATCCCTTCTCTCTCCTCGACTCTCTCTCTCTCTCTCTCTCTTCGGTTTCTCTCTCCTCTGCTTATCGAAGCGTTGAACGGAAGAGCCGGTGTCCTGAAGGCGCAAGCATTATAGGCTTACCCGTAGGCCAGTAGCCCCTAAAATGAGAGGTGTATTCAACGAGACCCACGCGCCATTGTGGAACTTGTATAACACGGAGGAATGAGAGTGAACTATTTAACCCTCCCCTCCTTTTTAACCATTGGGGCTAAATGCCCTTCCAGTATTTGTGAAAAGAAAGTTGATCCCACTTATCCAAATTATCTAGTGTAATTATACATAGAGCATATAATTGTTTTTGCAACTTGGGTAGGGCTGTAAGTTAGGTTGACCCAACCCAATCTAATTTTAACCCAATCTTAACTTAAAATCGGGTTGGGTTGGATTAGTTCGAATTCTAAAAAAAAATAATAATAATAATTATATCCATAACTCAGTCCGAATATTTTGGTCAGATCGGGCGGGTTTCACAAGTCGTCTTTTTTTTTTACAAATATGCAAATTTCCTTTTCCTTTTTCATGTTTGTAACCATCAAAATTTAAAAAGTGGTTCCATTTAAAAAAAACTTATAGAAAATTTTTTAAATGAAAGTTTTTTCAAATTTTTAATTCATTAATATATATATATATATTTTAATCTTATCAAAGTTACTCACACAATTTTTCCAAAGTGGTGCGGAGCTTGGTCCCTCTCTCAAGCTCCGCACGCGGATTTAATTTTTGCAATTTATGAATTTATTTTCCTAATTCGTGATTATTGAACTCCTATATTATCACATAGGAATATGATATTTGCACTGAATACTCAGGCCCAAAATTTAAGCCGATGGTGATGTGTCACTATAGTTGTACTACACTTAGAAAGATAAATTTTTAAAGACAAAACTATCTTTATATAATCTCAATTAGTAAAGAATCTCAATTACCAGTAATATCTTTCTTCATTCATCTTTATCCCATAGTCAATTCATTCTTTATTTTCTTCTCTCACACTTTTCTTCATTACCATCATTGATTCCCGATCAGGATACAAAAACATATCACCTTATTGTTGTTACCACCTCCATTACCATCATCACTTCGCCATCAGGTTGCCCTGAGAGACCACTCGTTCTTTTTCAATTATGGCATTCTCTCTTTCTCTCCTCTTCAAGTTGATACAGGCACCACTTTTTTTTTTTTGTTATGATGAAAATTTTATAAACTTGTTAAAATATTTTGATGATCTCTTTTTAGAAATTTATATATTATTTATTATACAGAGGTAGTGTTTTGATAAAATTTATAAAAGGAATTTAAGTGAATTTTAATGGGAAAATTATATTTTGGTGACCAAAATTAAACATAATTGCTATATCTTGACCTTAAAGTCAAGAAAATGTGAATAATAACCAATCTTGAAACTTAATTGATATTAAGTGACCATTTAAGGATAATTTGGTCAAAAACTTTTAAAAGTTTAATAAACATTTTAAAAATAAATTTTAGATGACAAAATTGCCATCCAATATAAATAATAAGTCATTGAATTCACCCTCCTCCTACTCTCTCTCTCTCTCTAATCCAACGTTTTCTTTTTTTCCTTTTTAGTTTATAATTTACCAATTTAAAAAATTAAGATTTCTTTATCAACATTATATTTTTTTCACCCTTTATCTATTTTTCAAGGCTCTCAACCATCTAATATTTTCCTTTTTAGTTTACAATTTACCAATTTAAAAAATTAAAATTTCTTTATCAACATTATCTCTTTTCCATCCTTTATTTATTTTTCAAAGCTCTCCTGCATGAACGCTCATAACATTTACAGTGGCAAATCATACTTTTGAAACACCTTTTAACAGTTAGTAAAATTATGAAATTAATTAACAATAGTCAGTATTTCTTGAACTATAACTAAGTAGTATTAAAAATTCCTAAAAATTACAATCTTATATCTTAAGGAAGATCTCTCAGACAAATCAACTCGTAAAGTATAATAACTATACCTTGAAAATAATAAATAAGAAGAAAATTTACAATTTTCTCGTCATGTCTCTTAGAATCTTGAAGAAAATAATGTATAATATCCATCATCAGTTCTCTCCCATCTTGATCTTCTCTTCAGAGACTCACCCTAATAATTTGTCGTCTTTTTGTTAGTCAATTTAAGTAAGTATTTATTTAGGTTAATGTAGAGGGTAAATTTGTCTACTTACATAATAATATATTATAAGAAGGCTATTTAGGTAATAAACCATCAAATGGTCACTTAATATCAATTAAGTTTCAAAATTGCTCACTATTCACCTTTTCTTGACTTTAAGGTTACTTTATAGCAATTATATTTAATTTTGGTCACCAAAATATAATTTTCCCAATTTTAATTATAGTTATTTTTGAGTATCACGACTTTACCGTATATGCATTTATTACTTACACTATTACTCAATATATATATTAGTTACTTAAAATATATGCATTTATTTATTACTAAAAAACTTCTCAATTGAAGAATATTACAAGTAAACCACGTATTTATTGATGAGAAAAGTTAACTTATTTATTATATTAGTAGTGTTCAATTGCTCCTGGTGAGGAGGGAGCCATATATTCACTTTTAATTATAGCCTTAGGATTTAATCCAATGACAATGACATAACTAATCTTACTTTTCTCTATTTTAATATAGATACCAATTTTTTACATTATCATTAAATATAATTAGAATCAAATGACAAAACTAGACCCCAATTAAAGAAAACAAAAATGAAAGATTTGCCCAATTAAAGAAAACAAAAATGAAAGATTTTGACAACTCCCTTCGTCGTCGATTTCAGATGAACCTAGGTTTCATAAATATTATTATTATGTTTTTTTTACCATCTCCATTCTCATGGAAAGGAGTAGTAGCTAGAAAATTATTTGTTAAGAATTTAAACAACCAAAAATTTTGTATAGGAGAAACGTCCAGCACCAAAGAAAAAAGACAAGAAGATTTTATTAAAGTAAAAAAAGAAAAGAAAGGATGATTAAAATATTAAAATCAGAAACCTCCACCTGTTTTATAACTTTAAAATTATATACATACAAAAGAAATTTTACAAACAATTAAACGAGAATTTAGAGTCACCATAGAGCAGATGGCAATGAAGGTAAGAACACCATCATTAAGGGAATGTTTGGCAAACGAACACCATCATAAACCTAAATTTCTTATCGATTCCAAGACGCAAACTACTGATCGGAAAACCATCCCTCTAATAAGTGCTGAAAAACTTAATTTAAGTAAGAAATCGATGACGATATAGCTTTGCAAATACAATTTTCATAAATCTGCTAATTTGTTTAACATAAACCCTAAACACTATGAACAGTAGAAAAAGAACTATAAAATTAAAAATTATTATATACCGAAAAATATATATATATATATTGAAAATGCAAGAAATTTTCCCTCTGAAATTAGAAAGAACAATTCTACACTTCAAAATTTTCCAACTCCTTTTCCCTCTATTTTCAGCCTATTTATAAACTGTTACACACCTTCTAGATATTTTCACTAACTTCTTGAGCTAGGCTGTTCTTCTAGGCTTTTCTTCATTATGGGCTCAGCTCCTTCCATCCAAAACCGGGCTTCCAACCTAATTTCATGATCCTGTGCTTGATTAATAAAGACTCGGTCTAAAACGGTAGTCTTTGTCCAACCCACTCACAACCACCCGGATTATACCTGGCCCAAGTTATTTTAGGTATCCTCATCTACCCCCACAATCTCTCCCTAATTAATTAGGGTGGGATTATCGAAAAGACATAACTATGACATGATGGCTCGAAGAAGTGAACGGTCGGTTCAGAGATTGATGCTTTGAGATCTGCTGCACCGTCTTCAACACAGCCCCTTGAAAGTTGAACCACTTTTACTTTAACAAGTCTTAACTCATCATTTCTCGCATTTCTTCAACTTTTCTCACCTCCACCCTCTTCGATTGTTTCTATCATCCACCTGTACTTTCCGGCGAGCTTTCGTAACTTTCTCCGGCGAGTTTTCCCTTCGTGATTTGATTTTTGCTTTGTTACAGAGTATTTTGCAAATTCTCTTTACAAAGTTAGTCCCATCCTTTTGCTACTTTCCTTAAAAGAAAGGAATTTTATACTTGAAAACTTTTCTCCCCTTTTTATGGCTCCCCTCAATTTGGACGCTATTCGCTCGAGGAATAATATTCCCAATGATGTCTCCCTTAGGGTTTACCCTGTGAGTCTGGATGAGAGTACTGGTGAGGGTCTCCTTCCTGGGGAGATTCTCCTCTCGGCACTTCCTTTGAATGTACTTAGATTTCCTTTACACCCGTTTTTCTACTATGTCTTCAATAAATTAGGGCTTTCCCCTCTTCAGGTTAACCCTAATTTCCTTAGGGTAATATCAATCCTTCTAATTTTGAATCATGATAGGGGTCTTGAATTAGACATAATAGACCTTCTCCTTTGCTATCGAATCGTCAAAACCAAAAGCAACGGAATGTATTTTCACTCCCATCCCATCGAGAAACAATCCATCTACACGGACAAGCTCTCATTTGAAAAGGGGTGGAAGAAAAACTTGATTGGGTTAGTGGAAATTAGGGGACTCCACTTGCTTAGACCTTCCCTATCCCAATTACTTTTGGGGAGTGCTTTGTCCTCCAATATAAAAAATTTAGGAAGCATCCCTTTGATTGCCATTGTGAATCCTGTCTTCCTCGTTTCTGTACTTTTCTTTGTAGTTGCCTTCAAATAAATCATGATGAGTTGGTTTACAACGTTTGCAGGACTAGGCTTAACATTTTAAAGGAGAGAGTCTTGAACAACATCCCCTCAGTCACTGACCTGCTCACATCTGCCAACCTCTCTGACATATCTTTCCTTGGGTCCACCATGAATAATATCAGAATTCCCTCTTTCAGTAGGAGAGGGGGTCTTGCCCCCACTCCTTCAGCTGCTCCAGCCACCACTACAACCACTTCACCAGTTCCGGTTGTAGCCCAAGCTAACGAGCATCCAAATGCTGGGCCCTCTACCTCAACTGAAGTTCATCCTATCGCGCTGAACAATGACCCTTCTG